TCCTTCCTGAGCGAAGACAAAAATGTGTGAGCCAGAGGCTAAAAAACTGTGAGCTAGCTCACACTAACTCAGCTTGGAGGGAACACTGGTTGGCACCCTTGGTCAATCCAGCTCAGGACCCTCTGCTATGATTGGCCGAGATCCCCAAGATCTCAAGCAGAGAACGGTCTTTCCCAACACCTGCCAACTGAGATCCTTTAAATGGAAATGCTGGGGACTGAACCAGGGATCTTCTGCACGCCAAGGAGATGGGAAATGCTTTGAACCAGACTGCAGATCACAACAGCATGTATTGGATAGTGCAACTGACCAAGAGAGAGATCTTGGGAGTCATGAAAGGTAACTCACTCAAAACGTCAACTCGGTGTGCGACTGCAATAAAAAAGGCAAATGCTATGCTGGGGATTATTAGAAAGGGAACTGAAAACAAATCATTTATTACTTAACATCTACATGTGTCCCCTCACTCAGCTGGTCTGGAAGTTTGGGCTGGGTTGTCACCAGTCTGCTGATAACCCCCATGATAACACCCAGCTATATCTGTTGATGGACGGCCACCAAATGCCGCCCCAAGGGTCCTGGCCAGAGCATTGGAAGCTGTGGCTGGTTGGTTACAACAGAGCTGCCTGAGACTAAATCCATCAAAGGTGGAGGTCCTGTGCCTGAGTCGTGGAGGGATGGATTTAGGGATTCAGTTCCAAACTCTCGGCAGGGCGCCACTGATGCAGATGGTGAGGAGTCTGGGCGTGATCTTGGATGCCTCGCTTTCTATGGAGGCCCAGGTCACGGCCGTTGCCAAAACAGCTTTTTACCATCTGTGGCAAAACTGGGACCCGCCCTCAGCCCTGGGAGACTGAGCAGCCGTTCTGTGGCTTGCAAGCCCGTTTTTGCCTTCCCCCCCTTCCTGGTGGGGCTATTTTGCTTTCCCCCTCCTGTTGTTGTGGAGAAACCCCAGCCCTCCACTGGACTGGTCACTGGTACTGTTGCCCTCCTGGCTGTCCACCGCGGTTTATAGCGGCCTGGATGCCCTGGAGTTTGAGGCAACAGGAGCCCCCACCTGTACGCTCCCTTGAAGCTGGCGTCCATGATGAGCCAAAGGCTGAAGACTAAAAGCGTGATCTTGGATGCCTCGCTATCTATGGAGGCCCAGGTCACGGCCGTTGCCAAAACAGCTTTTTACCATCTGTGGCAAAACTGGGACCCGCCCTCAGCCCTGGGAGACTGAGCAGCCGTTCTGTGGCTTGCAAGCCCGTTTTTGCCTTCCCCCCCTTCCTGGTGGGGCTATTTTGCTTTCCCCCTCCTGTTGTTGTGGAGAAACCCCAGCCCTCCACTGGACTGGTCACTGGTACTGTTGCCCTCCTGGCTGTCCACCGCGGTTTATAGCGGCCTGGATGCCCTGGAGTTTGAGGCAACAGGAGCCCCCACCTGTACGCTCCCTTGAAGCTGGCGTCCATGATGAGCCAAAGGCTGAAGACTAAAACTCTTCTCAGGGGCCAAAGCCTTTTTCCGCCTGGCTCCACCCCTGGGATGTGTCCCTTTCCCCCCGCCCTTTTCCCCTAGCACTTCTGGGAAATGTAGGAAGTCCCAATCAACCCGATGAGGGTTACCCCTGCAGGCCCCTGTCCAGAACTAGAGGCCAATGGGGAACCATTTTAACCACCAACTACAGATGGCATCCATCTTACACACCCAGGTAGATGCCATTTCGTTACACCATCTCTGGCTGGTCAGGCAACTGGTTTCCATCTCTCTCCTTGTGACTCAGCCACAGTGATCCATGGAATGGTCACCTCTAGGCTGGATTACTGTAATTTGTTCTATGCTGGGCAGAAAATAACTCAGGAACTCCAACTCGTTCAAAACACAGTGGCGCATTGAAGGAGGAGGAGGAGGAGGAGATGAAGAAGTCAGTATCATAATGCCCCTGTATAAATCTATGGTGCGGCCTCATTTGGAATATAATACACAGTCCGGGTCACCTGATGACAGAAGTTTACAAAATTATGCATGGGATAGAGAAGGTAAAGAAAGGTCTAGATTGTGTACTACTTTCCTCTGATGTATAGGATATTCTGTAGGGCCAACTGTTTAGTTTTGTGTTTGTTCTCTCTCTCTGTCTGCTTTTCAATTATGCTGTCCCTTTTAATCTAAATAAAAGGATATGAATTAAATCTCCTTTGCTTTCTTTCAATTTGGGGAAAATATGTGGCTAAACCTGACCCACGTTTTCAAAGGATCCAAAAAGACAATTCCGATTTATTCTCTTGCTTTCATTTGTGTGTGTGTGTGCTCTAACACTAGACTCAAACTTTTTTCTAACAGTGTAATTCTAAGTAGAGCTACACTCTTCTGAGTCTATTGAAGTAAACTGGCTTAAAAAGGTAAAGGTAAAGGTTCCTTTGCTCGAAAGCCAGTCGAGTCCGACTCTAGGGTTGCGGTGCTCATCTCTGTTTCAAAGCCGAAGAGCCAGCGCTGTCCGAAGACGTTTCCGTGGTCACGTGGCCGGCATGACTAAACACCAAGGCGCACGGAACGCTGTTACCTTCCCACCGAAGTGGTACCTATTTATCTACTTGCAATTTCTTGCTTTCGAACTGCTAGGTTGGTAGGAAAACTGGCTTAGGAAAGCATAAATCTGTTTGGATCGCGCTGTAATTTTCGTGAACGGTGGCGCGATTGCAGCCCCGCTGCCAGAACACTTGCCCACAGTCTCGGTGGCCAACACGTGGAAGCCTTGTTCACATTCAGCACGTGGATCATGCCGCTGTTTCTGACACAGACGTCCCCCCCAAAAAATGCAGTGCTGCCTTAAGGAACAGCCAGAGAATCGAAGCAACCCACCGGTCAGAGTGATGGCATTTCATGAATGACTGCACCCTTTTTTTTGCTGGCTCCTTTACTACGCTTAACCGGAACACCAAGAAGAGTATGCGATGATTCCCCACATGTAAAAACCATCGCCCTGCAGAAGCAAAGCTTCACCTGTTGATCTTCAGTCTGTTATGCACGCCATTACGCCCCCGGTCTCACCTACCATCTGCAGCACCCGCGGCTTGCCCGTATCCTCTTCATCGCCCATCTCTCGTGCCGGTCTTCCACGCGCGGAGAATCTTGGGAGTCGTAGTTTGCAAAACGGCGAATTGTAACTCCCGTCAGCCTCTGCGTCAGAGGCGGTCTCTCTGTGTCGAAACGCGGCGCAAAGGTGGTCGTGGTCTTAGCCGGACCTTTTGGAGCCGCCGAGTATGGAATTCTGATAAGAAAAGAGATCGCTCAGTCTGTGCAAAATAATAAAGCGTTTCGCGAAGAGAAGAAACGAGAAAGAACCGCGGCGGGATGAGAAGAGGGGCGGGGCGGGCGGGGCTGCTTCCTTGGCCGTACAGACCGGATTCTCTCAGCCGCCCTCCTTCCGGTCGGTGCTTCCACCTCCCACCCGCCGAACTTCATTTCCCAGACGCCCTTTGCGGTCGGGGGGCGGAAGTTCACGTGCTGTTTGCTTTTTCTGAGGGGGAGAGGCGGCGCTGCTGAAGGAGAGCGAGCGAGCGCAACTGGGGTTAAAGAAGGAAGGAAGGAAGGGAGGGAGGGAGGGAGGGAGGGAGGAGGGGGGGAGACAGTTGCCGGCTGAGTCAGCCGTAAACGGGGGGACGAAAACTAACACCGTCACCATCGTTATCAGTCTCTCACCTGATGAGGGGCCTTCCTGTCGTCGGGGGTGGTGGAAAGACAAGGCGGGGAGGGCGGGCTCTTTAATGCCAGGATCCCCCCACACCCACACACACACCCATCCCTCTGGGGAGGCCTCGCGTCGGACTCCCAGGCCGACTTCCTCGTCTGTAGCCATGGCAACGCTGAGGGGGGGGCTGGGACCAGTGTTCCCTCTAAGCTGAGTTAGTGTGAGCCAGCTCACAGTTTTTTAGCCTCCGGCTCACACATTTCTCTCTTAGCCCAAGAAGGACGGCTCCAGAGCAAACTACTTTATGCAGTAGCCAAATCACTTGCTCACAACTTTAGTGTCAGTAGCTCACAAAATGGAATTTTTGCTCACAAGACTCCACAGCTTAGAGGGAGCATTGGCTGGGACCCCTCTCCTCATCCCCCCAGCAGGGCTCTGGCCAGACCCGCGGCAGTCCTCTCTGGCGCACGCCCACCTTCTTCGGGCTGCGGCTCCCTCCTCCAGCCGAGGTCCCAGGGACCGCAGCCGTCGGGGGAGGAATATAGACTCTGCTCGACTCCAGACCCACCCGGGAGAGCTGCGGGCCGCTCGCCACTGGCGGAGGAGACAGCGCTGCGGCCGTCGGCCTCGGGGGAAGCGAAGCTTTTGGCGGGGGGCCAGGCCGACCCAGTGGAGCGGCAGGAGGCCTCTCTCTCTGCCCCCCTGGGCACGTGTGTCCTGTAGTGCAGCAGCCGTCCCCAGGGATTTTGGCTGTGGCGACCCATCAGTCTGACTTTACTCGATACGGTGACCAATGCTCCCTCTAAGCCGTGGAGTCTTGTGAGCAAAAATTCTACTCTGTGAGCTACCGGCATTAAAGTTGTGAGCGGGCGGTTTTGCTACTGCATAAATCAGTTTGCTCTGGAGCCCTCCTTCCTGAGCTAAGACGAAAATGTGTGAGCCGGAGACTAAAAAACTGTGCGCTGGCTCACACTGACTCAGCTTAGAGGGAACACTGACGGTGACCCCCCCTTTCAAAGCAAAACGGAGCATGCACAAACCGATACAGCTGCAAAAAAGCCTGGGACCCAGTTGCACAGGCCTTGGTGGGACCCACAGGTTGGGGAACGCTTGTGGGAGGATACTGGCAAGTGTGTGTGTGTGGGGGGGGTGTTTGGGGTCTGTGGGTCTGGAGAGCAGCTACTCAGCTGAGAGGACTGTACAGAGTTAGGCTTTTTTTTTTAGTTTTATTTGATTGAATTTGTACCTGGCCTTAAATGCCTTCCTAAGGGGCACCAGGTGGCCTGGCTTGGTATAAGACAGCTTTGTATGTTTGCCTGGTACTCTCGCTACTGGTCCCCTGCTAAACGTCCACCAGTCGCAAAGCTGTCAAAAAGGCCAGTGTGGGCGTGTCTGGTTGCCTATGGTCTGGGCAGGAAATCAAACTAAAATCCTAATGTAAGAGTGGCTGAATGGGTGGAAAGGGAGGGAAACGGGAAACTCATAAGGGGGTTCTCTACGTGATTTGCTTTGAGAGTAATCTCTGGCATCAGTGTTGTAAACACATTCTCTGCAGGGCTGAAGGCCAGCTTGAATTTGGGACAGAAGGAGTGTGGTGTTATTAGGATTGATGTCGCAAGCACAAGTACAGATATCCTACCAGCCCTTCCTTGAGAGAATCTCTTGCGAGAATTGTGCAATGACTTCACTGAATAAAGAGATGATCTGGGAAGGCTGTTATGCTTAAAGGCATATATCATGCCAGGAAAGAAGTTTCTTGGCTGTACCCTGTTGAGCAACAGAGTTCTCTCTAGCAATTTCGGAGGGAGAAGGGGAAAACGGAAGACAGTTAATGTGGTCTATTTCCTGTGGGCCTCTGTGGAAGGAGAGCCAGGGCTGTAGGTCCTACACTGTGGGACTTGTGCTCAATGCAAGTGCTACGTCTAGGAGTACCTGGAATAGTAATAAAGAATATGGTTCTGTTTGAATCAGTGAGCATTGTAGGTGTGGGTGTGTTTCTTCTTGCCATACCTGAAGGTTGGTAAGGACTTCCAGTGGGTCCAAAAGCTCAAGTTGTGGTTTCTGGCCACACTTCAGTACAGATACCTCTTCTTGTTTTGAAATCAAGCAGTGGAAAACTCGCATGTTACAAGTGGTGGAGGCAGTTTAACAGCTCCTCTGCTGCCTTCAAAGAAAATGTACATTTTCCCCAGTCCCTGGGACAAACTCTGCAAACAGCTCTATTGTTTGTTTCCTGCTCTGAAGCAAACTGTATTATGACTGTAAGAGGCTCCTATTGGCTACTGCAGATGATGTTGCTGATCCATCCCCAGCAGGAGCTGGTGAAGGGTGAACAAATAAAGTCAGATGGTTCGTGTCTCGTAAAGTGGGTGTGCACGCAAAACTGAGGGCTGGCCTACCAGTCTAGTATTCAATTCCTTGGTATGTTTATATCACTGCAGGTGAAGTACTCTCATGACCAAACAGTACAGGGCTGTTCTCATGGTTGGCCATAGTCTGACGCCTTAAAACGTCCATGATGTCTTGACTACTCTGGTTTTTGAAGACTTAAAAGTTTCCATTGTATGTGAAAGCCTTGCTCAGCATTTCTGAAAATACAGACTGGAGTTTATGGAGGTCATACTGTCCCTGTCTGAAGGAGCTAATCTTGCCTGCTGAAATTGTTTATGCCAAAGGAGTCACAGTATCCTAGCATATTGTTCTGTGAAGCTTTGTGGAAAGTTTTCAGAAACTTTGAGCTTAAAAGAGGCGGTAGAATCAACCAAAAAGAAAGAGAGCCTGCAGTGACGCTGAAGAGTCCACTGTCCAGGCTTTTCCTTAAAACCTGCCGCTTATTTTTATAGCTACATATGCTTACATAATTTTTAAAAAGCACAGAAAGGACCTGGTGCATAGATCCTCATTTTATTCTGTAGGAGGATAATCCTACTTAATGGATTCCCCCCCCCCCAATATTTCTGGAGGATTAAAAGCTGGCAACTGAGGTAACTGGAGAGTCTGCTGGCTTCCTAGACCCTGGCCTGATTTTGCTGTTGTTTTTTGCTGTCAAACAGCTGATTTGTGGTGACCCTGGTGGGGTTTTCAAGGCAAGAGACAATTAGAGGTGGTTTGCCATGGCCTGCCTTTGCGTCAGGACCTTGGTATTCTTGAAGGTTTCCCATCCAAGTACTGGCCAGGGTGACCCTGCTTAGCTTCTGACATCCTGAACGAGAGTGGGCCAACCTCCTCAAAAGGGACGCCTGTGACACTGTCTCTCAGAAGCTCTGGCAAGCAGGGGGGAGGCGTGTCTTTGGGGACAAAGTGTGTGGAGTGAGCTGTGTAAAATGGCCAGTTCCTGTCCTACCTTTCAAAGATAAGAAAAGAAGGAAGCATGTGCTGATTACCCAATTCCAAAATGAGCTGTGAGCCTGTGTGCAGCAGGGCATTGCACTATTTCAAGTTTATTATTCTGGTGCTAACGAGACTTCTAAGGCCACCAGTTTGGAATAACCTAGTTAGGGCAGGTTCCATGTTGGTCTTGTTCAGTCGCACAGTCGAGTCCGACTCTTCGTGACCCCACGGACCAGATCACGCCAGGCCCTCCTGTCTTCCGCCGTCCTCCGGAGTTTGCTCAATTTCATGTTCGTTGCCTCGATAACACTGTCTAACCATCTCATCCTTTGCTGTCCCCTTCTTCTTTGACCTTCAGTCATTCCCAGCATCAGGGGCCTCTCCAGCGAGCGCTCCCTTCTCATTTGAGTTTCAGCTGCAGTATCTGGCCTTCCAGGGAACAGTCAGGGCTGATTTCCTTTACGATAGACTGATTTGATCTCTTTGCAGTCCATAGAGATTCACTTTGTATGGATCTCTCCCTCTCCCAGCTCTACTTAAGGGAGACCAAACAGAGCGTCTCCACATAAGAGAGCTGTGTTATTTGAACTGGCTGAGGCGGTAGGAGAGCTGTTCAGTGCTAGGGAGTGGACCAGCTAGATGCGGAAATAATGCTGTGGGTTGTTTTGTACAAAAATAGGTCTGTTGAAACAAGACTCTTTAAAAACTAGTGCCATTATGGGGGCTCAATTGCCAAACATTGTTCGGCTGCTACTTTTTGTGACTGGTTCTTTGTTTGTGCTTCGCTTGCATGGGTGGCTCTGCAGGTCTATGGAGTAGTCAGGTGATGAGCTGACCTGAAATCACGTGCGCCCGTCACGCCGCACAGATGGTGGTGTGTTTGCTTTCTGCATGGACTCTGCCGTTTTATGAAATGGCCCTGCTTCACATTCGTCTTTGCCACGGGTGGGCAATATGTAGTGACTGAGGTTTAATTCCTTGTGAGCTGTAACTCCGTTTGCAGTAGGGTAAGCTTCTAGCAACGCCAAAGGTGCTCGGGCTCCGGAACACAGTACTGCAGTTGTTACTAGTACGGACAGAGTAAATGGATCACAGTCTGCTGCTATAGCCAGCCACAGACGGTTCTTGGAAAGGCAGGCTTGTAAGAAAAGGTGGTGCTGGACTGAATAAACTGGTATTTGGAAAATAAAAAGCACAGGGGCCCAACTGGGGTCTTTCCTAGTGAATGTAGAATTTACTGTTCAGAGGATTGGTGCCTCTCCTTCCCTCAGAGCACAGGAGGGAGGGAGACTTTCCGCAAGGAGACGCTGTGTGCGAGAAGTGCAGGAAGGCATCCAGCTTTGCATCTGTATCTGGCAAAGGCTTCCCCCTTTCTGGCTAGTCTTGCTAGACAGCCAGGATGGATAACTGGCCCCAGGTAGCTCAGCCAGTCAGTCACTTCCTAAGTGCCAGAATAATCACAGATCCACATGGGCTAACTGAGCCCTACTGGCCCTGCCCTTGGGGTGACTTCTATCAGCTTCTTATAGGAATTGCGCTGTGGAGTCTGTGTGTATAGTCCTGCAGGGCCGAATCCTCCCATCTTTCCCCATCTGGGCTCCAAGTCATTTGCCCCAAGTGGTAAGCTGTCCGTTGGTGTCTTGCATTTATGGCACAGTTTTCACCAGGCACCTTAGTTTTCATGGTTATCACTGCTGGACATATTTATATGCCACCTCTCCCCCAATAAAGATGCTTGGGGGGCATTCTGTGAAAATAAAAGGACAAGCAAGCACCTTTCACTATCACTGTGTGGAACATGACCTCCCTGTGGTGGCAATAACTTGCCAATGGGCTTCTGTGGTGGCCCAGAGAGGATTTGGGGTCGTTAATGCAGCATACGGCAGTGTAGTCTGTGACCCCATTATTGTGTTTTGTAACTAAGTTTGGTGTAGTGGTTAAGTGCGCGGACTCTAATCTGGGAGAACTGGGTTTGATTCCCCACTCCTCCACTTGCACCTGGCTGGATGACCTTGGGCAAGCCATAGTTCTGATAAGAGCTGTCCTTGAAAAAGAGCAGTTTTCGTCAAGAACTTTCTCAGTCCCACCTACCTCACAGGTTGTCTGTTGTGGCTCTGAGACACCTTTGGGTAGTGAAGGGCGGGGTATAAATCTGATCTCTTCTCTTCTTCTTCACTCCCAGATTACTGTGAATAGTAAGCCTAGCCATCGCTGGCATCTCAGAACACTTGCCCAGGCTCCATTCCCCAAAGAACAAAAAGGAACTTTTCCTGTGTTGCAAATCCGATGGACACTCCTGGTCTTGGACTGCCACACTGGCCAGTGGTGTCGCATCAGATGGGGGCCACATGTTCCCTTTTCATGTGTCCAATGCCTGGCATCAGCTGCTTCAGAATAGCATACCTTCGTGGCAGCCAACCTCTCTGAGTGTCTTGGCCCTTCACACCAGCTCCAGCACACAAAGTTCTTAAGAGTGGATGCAAATGCTGTTGTTTTAGGTGAGGGAAAGGAAGCATGTCTGGTTGTAAAGTTGATTTTCTGTTTTTGCTTAACTACAATGTGAATTTCTCTTGATGTCAGTTAGATGCTTTTGCAGGGCATCTGGAAAGGGGGAGCTGACCGCTGTGTGGTCCTTCCCCCCCTCCCCCCCAATCTGCACACCAAAGGTTAGGGGGTAGCGACAGAATTCTGGCTGTGCTCCATCAGGCCAGTGCTTCGGGCACCCCTGCAACTCGGGAGAGGGCCTTCTTGGTCATGGCCCCAAGACTTTGGAACTCTCTCCCCAAGGAGATTATCTGTTCCCATCTTCTGCCAGCAGGTGGAAGACCTTTTTTTCATTTGGCATTCTCTCAGCGATCCCTTCTTACTGAACAGTGTTTTAATAGTTGTTCTTATATCTTTAAGTGTCTTTGAGCTGTGGTTTTAATTATGTGCGTCTTTTAGGAGGGGTTGGTTTTAATAGTTTTTAAAATGTGGTTTCATTATGTCTATTTTAATTTGTTAGCTGCCACGGTGGCCCTTGTGAGGACAGAAAGGCAGGAAATAAATTTTGTAAAACGAGCATTCCCAATATCCTCTCTCTGCTGTCCTTCCAGCCAGCCTGCAGCGATGGCCATCCTCTTTGCGGTCGTAGCCAGGGGCTCCACGATTCTGGCCAAACATGCCTGGTGCGGAGGAAACTTTTTGGAAGTGACAGAACAGATCCTGGCCAAGACCCCTTCAGAAAACAACAAACTCACCTACTCACATGGCAAGTGAGTACTGGTTCCTTTGTGTTGGGGGGGGGGGGGCGGGGCAGACCTTTTGCCTTGTTCCGGGGGTCCAAATGGGTGTGTTGTTTGTGGGGGGGGGGGGGGGGGGGCTGGACAGACCTTTTGCACTGTTCCGAGTGTCCAAATGAAGACACCTTGAATGTCTGCTCTTCTCAGCAGCTTGCTAAACTTTTGCACCTATAGAACCATCTGATGTGTCTCTCACACTTTCTGGGAGAAACTGTCGAAGGCATATTGGATCTGGTCCTTTTGACTGTTGGCTGGCTAAACTTTTTTTTTTAATGAGAATTATTGTGGTTTCTGAATTTTTACTTAAGCAGAAGGACTAAACTGTAGCGTACACAAAATATGGTGCCGTTTGCCCTAGATTCTGCTGCGCCAAAAACCTGCGCCAAAGGCATGTGCGTCGATGGCACTGGTGAGTGGAAGGTTTGGTATGATTATTGGGGAATACTCTCTGCAGCCCCAAGTGCCCCCTGAAATTCTGCTGCACACTTCAGTGTGCATTTCGGACTGCAGAAGGAGGCGGGACAGTCATTCTCAGTGATTGGAACTCGGTGGTGTCTGTGGAAACACTGCAGTAAATCCAGCCCACAAATTGGCATGTCTTTTTAAATGTGGCATAACGGATCTGGTGACACATTCAATTTTAATCTCCAATGGGCAACTCATAGAAGAAGGTCTGTTAGTTTGGGGAAACTATCCTCCAACCAACTGAAATCTTTCTTTTTCTCCGAAGGAAATCAATTTGTGCCTGCCGCCATTAAAGTTTTTAATACTAAAATTTTATCCCAAGTTCTCTATGGTGTTCCTATATGGTTCAGTGCTTTTAACTGTGAAGTTGAATCAATTTAATCATCCTTTTTTAGACAAATTATGGGTTTCCCAAACTGTGTTTCTTACCATGCATTGTGCTCTGAATTAGGACTTAATTTGATTGAAACCAAGACATGGGTGTTAACGGTCCGTTACTGGCTTAAATTGTATTTTAACATTGAAGATGGTTCGCTTTTGTCCTTTCTGTTAAAGGAAATTCATAGTACCTCTTGGGACTTGAATATTCGAACCAAAATAAGATCTTTGGGCCTCTCCTTGGAGGAGTTAGCTTTCTCCTCTGAAGTGTATATCTTTAATACAATCAAACAGAGGCTTTTAGATATTGAATTTCAAAACCTGCAGCCCTTTCATCCCCCTGTCTGCTCTTCAGTTTCATTAAATCTTAAGAATGATGTGGGATGTATTCCCCAGTATTTGTATAATCTGGATAGCCCTAGCCATCGAAGAGCTTTTTCCCTTGCTCGAGTAAATACCTTTCCATCAAAACTACTGTATGGTAGGTTTCATAATATTCCTAAGCATGAACGGAGATGTGACTGCGGTTCTAGCTCTCTTGATTCAATCGATCAAATACTGCTAGACTGTTCGTTGCATGTATCTGCTAGGGGAAAATGGTTAAACACTTGGTTGCATGGTAAATATCACCTTTCCAATGAAATAAAATGTCAAATTTTATTGAATGATATAACAGCAGAGATTACGGTGGCAGTGGCTAATTTTTTAGTTGATGTGATAAGAGTGAAAAATTTGGGAAACTCAGTTTCATGATTTTATAATTATCTCAGATTTTTAGCTGTGTCATTTTCTGTTTCTGATTTTAATGTTGTATATGCCATTAAAGGTTTATTGATTGACTGATTGATTGGATCTGGTGACAGTTCAGGTTCCCCCTTCCCATGAAGCTCGGTTGGTGACCTTGGGCCCTTCATACTCTCAGCCTGGCCTACCTCACAGGGTTGTTGTGGGGATAAAAAGGAGATGGGAGAACCACCCTGAGCTTCTCAGAAGTAGAACAGGATAAAAATGTAATTCAGTTTTGAATAATTGACTGGCAAGACCTTAAGAAGTAATGGAAAGAATCTGTTTGCTGACATCAGGGAGTTTTTTATTAATGTGGTGGTGGGAGTATTTGATTGGTGCTTGCAGTATACATTTAGTCTATGATGCAGTATGTCCTAGATGCTGCTGGTTTATCAGATCTCTGCTCCGCCTGTCCAGCTGCTCTGAAAAATGTATTTGTGTCCTATCTTGCCCTAGTTACCTGTTCCACTATATCTGTGAAGACCGGATTATATACCTCTGCATCACTGATGATGTAAGTACGTGATAAAAAGTTGAGGCGTGTTTCATTGTGAATAATTGTGTCCTCTTTTCCTGCAATCCAAAACAGGACTGAAATCCACCGGATGTGATCGTTGAATGTCTGTGAACATCTCCAGTGTGTATAGCAACGGTTAAGCACCATACTTAAGAGAGTCTGTACTTAAGAGGGCCCCCACTTGAGCCTGTTGAAAACAATGGGTCCTCATTCCATGGGGCATCCAGGCTCTAATTCCCCTTTATTCCATATATGCTTGGGTTTGGATTTACTTGTTTCTGTTTGTGAAATGTGTTCGGATCCAACATATATGCATGTGGCTACTGGAAGAATTTGTGAAGTTGGACGCCTCTGGTGTTCAAAGCAGGACACAAACATGACGGTCTTCCCGTGTTGTCATCTGGTCCTTGAAGACATACTACCTCTGCACTTGGAGTTTCCATTTAACTGTTGTGGCTAGTAGCTTTTGATTTGCCTGTTTCTGTGAATCTGTTTACCTGAGGATCTTCTTCTGCCTTCAGAACTTCGAGCGTTCCAGAGCTTTCACATTCCTGAATGAAATCAAGAAGCGGTTTCAGAACACCTACGGTTCTCGCGCACAGACGGCTCTGCCTTACGCCATGAACAGCGAGTTCTCCACTGTCCTGGCGGCACAGCTGGTGAGAGTTGGTGCTAACCGCCTGCTTTAACACTGCTTACTGCTCCAGAGCCCCTCACAAGTCAGCATCTGTGCTGTTGCTTTTAAAATCAAACTTGAGAATCCAGTTCACTCCTACATCCCAAATGTATTACTTGTTTGTATACACTAAAATAAGTTACCTGCCCTCCAAGGAACCCATCCGCTCTGGGTCTGCAGGGGTTGCTGTTCTTGCAACCGGAAGGAGGCCGTGACTTGTGCTGAGATGGGTCAGGCGGCTTCCTCTCTGTTGGTCATCTGGCCTCACAGGAGTCTTTTATTTCTTTTGGTGTACTTAGCTTGCCACCAGCAGGTAGCTGAGGATTTGTAGGGCTAGATACTATCAAGGTGAAGTCTCAAGATCCTGTAATCATTGATTTTTCTTATCACAGAATTGGGGAGATAAAGAGGTGGACAGGAGTTCTGAGTGCTGGAGAAATGGCTGGGTGGGGGGCAATGCTCCCTCTAAGCTCTGGAGTCATTCTGCTTTGGGAGCTACCGGCATTAAAGTTGTGAGCGAGCGATTTGGCTGCTGCATCAGTTAGTTTGCTCTGGAGCCATCCTTCCTGAGCAAAGACCAAAATGTGTGAGCAAGAGGTTAAACAACTATGAGCTAGCTCACACTAACTCAGCTTAGAAGGGACACTCTTGCACAGTTCCCACTGTGGAATTCAGGCTTTTCCTGGGAAGAGCTCTTCAATTGTTTCAGATTGAGCTGTGGAGGCTGGCTTCATCCTCGTTCAACCTCTTCTTTTGCCAAGTTACACGTGATCCAGGCATTTGTGTCTTAGCTGCTCTTCTCTCCTTGCAGAAATACCACTCTGAGACGAAGGGCAATGAACAGGTGGCAGAGACGCAGGCCCAGGTGGACGAACTCAAAGGGATCATGGTCCGCAATATAGGTACTTGCGCTGCTCACTTATAAAGGTGCAGCCTGCACCTGCAGGCATGGATGTGTGTGAGAGGAGGCGGCTTGGGGATCAACAGCAGCGTGCACCCCTGTGCTTCTGTCTTAGTTGTGGAAAGGAACAGTACAGGAGAGGGGAGATGACCTGGGCTGCGAAAACTCTTAATGTCATGTGGGGATTATCTGAGAATAAAATCAGGTGGGACAAAATGCAAGGCTAGTTCTGCTAGCTCTGCTTTTACCCTTACCAAGCTGTTGGGCCTTCACGTGTCCGCTGCACTTTCAAAGAGGACCTCTTCTTCTGGCAAACCTCCAGGCAAGGATCTTGCACTGGGGTGCAGTTAAGGTCATAAAGACTTGGCCAGAGACTGAGAGCATCTTCTTCCGGGGTGAACATTCTGCTTGGCTGGCAGCAGGAGGGGGGAGCTGCTTTCCCAGTCATGTTTTCACTGCTGTCTTCTCCTCCTCCTAGATCTAGTGGCCCAAAGAGGAGAAAAGTTGGAATTGCTGATAGACAAAACTGAAAATCTTGTGGATTCGGTAAGTCCCAGAAATAGGGCAGGTGGCTGTAGATCTGAATTGCTCAGGCTTCCTCTAGAAAATGTGACATTGCAGAAAAGACAGGGCTGGAAGGGAAGAATGCTCCACCTTTGTGGGCATGGTTCTGTGTTTGGCTGTCACAAGCAAATAGTAAGGAAAGTGCCAGAAACAAATACTTTGGGCACTTGGTTCCTGAGCAGATTGGACTGATGAGTCTTTAAAACCCTGGTTGCAAGTTTGCAGGTTACACAGTACACTTTTCACCTCAAAGCTCAGAGGACAGAATAAACTTAATGTTCTGTTGCAAGGATGGCAGATCTGCTATTCTAGGCAAGGTAGCGGTTGGTGGAGGCTGTCCTCGGATAGCTAGATCTTGATAAGAATTTCAAGGGACAAAAATGTAAATGAGAAATGTGCGTTTTGGGGGACAAAACTGCTCCCAAATCATCCATTGTGTATATTGAGCACCAGGTCAAGTACTTCTGTTGGGACCCAGCAGAGGGTGCCAAATTGCCTCTTGTGTGAGCTGCCCAGAATCTGTTTTCTGGTGTTGGGCTGCTCTCACTTCTTTTGGAGGCAGTTGCAGGGTGCATAAGGGATGGAGCCATGCCTATACCCATGGGGGGAGGCATTTGGGGCAATGCCCCCCACAGATGAGTGCTGCCCCCTCGGACAAAAAAAAATGAAAAGTTACTTTAAAAATGTAAGATGCACGTGGGGCTTCCAAAATAACTCCTGGGCACGGTCAGGGAAGCTTCAATCTCATTTTCTTTTTTCCAGGCCAAAAAATAAATAGGTTTTTAAAAATGCAAAATAAAATAAAATTTGCAATGGAAAAAAAATGCAAAATGCGAGAGAGAGAGAGAGAGAGAGTCAGAGACTTCTCCCTGGCTTAAACAGAAAAACAGCCCAGAATCGAGTCTCTCCAATCGAGAGGACTAGAGGAGGATCTGTGGAGCCGGAGCGCCTTTTTCTGCTGCTGCAAGAGGAGGAGGAGATTGGATTTATACCCTACCCTGGATTTATACCCTACCCTAAACTACCCAAGGGAGTCTCAGAGCAACTTACAAACTCCTTTCCCTTCCCCTCCCCACAACAGACACCCTGTGAGGTCAGGTGGGGCTGAGAGAACTGCTGTTTTTCAAGAACAGCTGTGCCAGAGCTTGTGACTGACCCAAGGTCATCCAGCAGGTGCAAGTGGAGGAGTGGGGAATCAAACCTGGTTCTCCCAGATTAGAGTTCATGCATTTAACCACTACACCAAGGAGCAGCAGGCGTGGCCGGGTTGCCCCCCCTGGATCTCCCCACATCCTACCAACAAAATTTTTCTGGCCACACCCCTGGATGGGGCTGAAAATATGCAAGGTAATGCTTTTTTGTTGTTAAATCTTTGTGCCACTCTCCCTTGAAGGGATTTGGGATGGTGTGGACACTAAGAGGTCATCCCTTGTGATTTTTTTGGAATGGCAAGACAGGGAGCCAGGGCTCCAGGTCAGACACTTGAAGATGTTTGCCTGGTTTAAACAGGAGACGTGGTGCTTTGGGATGGTGTGGACACTAAGAGGTCATTCCTTGTGATTTTTTTGGGAATGGCAAGACAGGCAGCCAAGGCTCCAGGTCAGACACTTGAAGATGTTTTCCTGGTTTAAACAGGAGACGTGGTGTTGTGTGCCTTCATAGGAAGCAGCTTAGGGTCTGATCCCAGTACTTGGGAGTCTTTTCTGGACACAGGCTGCTGAGGCTTTTGTAGGAGGCGGAGTGGATCTTGCTTTGGTCCATTTTTTTTAAATGCGATGATTTGCTTGATATTTGGTTCACCCTTCCCCCTATCAGTTGTCTGGCCCGCTTCCAGGTTAGCGTGATCTCATCAGATCTCCAAAGCTAAGCGGGGTTGGCCCTGGTGAGTACTTGGATGGGAGACCACCAAGGAAGCCCCGTGTTGCTATGCAGAGGCAGGCAGTGACAAATCACCACCGAATGTCTCTTGCGTTGAAAACCCTGTGGGGTTACCATAAAATGGCTCGACTTGACGGCCCTTTCCTTCACCACCAGTTCCTCTCATCCATAGAAACCTGTCCCCAAACCAAAAATTGCTTAGAAAACGTATTATATGTGCCAGCCAAACCAACTAGGCATCAATGTAAATTATTGGGGGGGGGGGAATAAAACAGTTATGAATACAATTTCCATCTACATTATTAAAGCCTTTATGGTAAACAATGCTTGGTAAAATACTATTTTGTTTCCTAATATGGGGAAGCAGTGCAGCCTGTGTCAGGCAGTCTGGTCAATCAGGACCCGTCCAGGAGATGGGTGTTGTCTTGTTTAGCTGTAGTATTCATTTGAATTGGTAAACGGGTGTTTTTCTCTCAAGCCCTTCTGGGAAGGAAAGCAGTGTACGAATGCTGTAAACAAACTTATAAGGAAAACAGGAAGGAGTTGGAGGGGAAGGAGTAGCCTGTGTGAATGTAGGCAGGTTAAAATTGACTTTGTGTCATAAGGCGTGTGTGTGTGTGCCCCCATCTCGCCCCAAGGAAGGCAAGTGGCCACAAGGGACAGAACTTCTAATGGTGGCACCATGTTTGTGGAGATCCCTCCCTAGGTCTGTGTCACCCAAAGAGTGATTAACACATGGAATTCACTGCCACAGGAGGTGGCGGCGGCTACAAGCATGGACAGCTTCAAGAGGGAATTGGATAAGCATATGGAGCAGAGGTCCATCAGTGGCTATTAGCCACAAGGTATAGATGGGGACTCTCAGTCTGGGGCAAGTGATGCTCTGTATTCTTGGTGCTTGGGGGGGGGGGCAACAGTGGGAGGGCTTCTAGTGTCCTGGCCCCACTGCTGGACCTCCTGATGGCACCTGGTATTTTTGGCCACTGTGTGACAGTGTTGGATTGGATGGGCCCATTGGCCTGATCCAACATTGGCTTCTCTTATGTTCTTAAGCGCTGTGATGATTTTTAGACAGTAATCCCCCAAGAAATGTAACCTAGATGCTCCCACCTTAAATATATTGGCTTGTAGCAGTTTTTCCTTCTTTGAGAACTGGTGCGTTGTAGAATGTTGGACCAGGATTTGGGAGACTCTGTTTCGGATCCCCACGAGGGATCAGCATGAACTGGGAAAACGTTCAGTTTGTAGTGTGCCTGGTTTGTGAACCACAGACTGTCATGAGCTTTTTGGCGCCAAATTGGTTCAGTTTGTGATGCAGGAGAATTGCCCCCCCCCCCCGGGGGGGCATGCTAGAGGCACCACGTTTGCAGGGGATCTCCGGCTGGCTCTCTTCCACCTGCCCTCCAAGTTTGGGGTGATGACTGGATTTACGGGGTCCAAGTTACAGCCCCGCAAAGAAGGTGACCCTGGGAAATTGCTTTCTGGGGAAATGACAGGTGCAGGTTCAGGAGTGTATAGAACAGAACATGTGCAAGTTAGAGATTTTAAGCTCACAGCAGACCTCCAGCTGATTCTCTTCTATCTGCCCTCCAACTTTGGTGAAGATTGGATATATGGGGTCCGAGTTACAGCCTCCCAAAGAACGTGACCCCATCAGCAACCCCCAAAGAAGCCCAGCAGAACAGAATCGAAGTTCTGGAGTACCTCTGAAGTAGAAATTAAATGTGGGGGGCATTTTTGCAAGCCCAGCAGAACCAATGCCACTGTGGCACTGCAAACCCAATGGGACTAAGGTCATGCCGGGAAAGTGCTTTGGGGGAGAATGTCAGGCACAGGTTCAAAAGTGTATAGAATGGATCCCCCGCAAGTCACGCATACCAAACACACAGGGAACCTCACCCTGCAGCCTGCTCCTCTACAATCTCTGCAAGTCGGGGGTGGATTATGTTTCTGGGGTCTCAGTTATGGCCCCCCAAAAACGTCTCCTCAGTGCTCTCCCTGGAAAACACAGCTGCAGTTACAGGAGTCTATGAAACAGCTCTGGAACAAACCACTGACACCAAACTTAGAGGGAAACATCACCTGGGCAGACCTCCCACTCAGCCAGACAGTGGAAGCAATGCAAACACTCCCTCTATGCTCACAGCCAATGTTCCCTCTAAGGTGTGGAGTCTTGTGAGCAAACATTCTACTTCGTGAGCTATTGGCATTAAAGTTGTAAGCAAGCCATTTGGCTACTGCGTGTATTAGTTTGCTCTGGAGCCGTCCTTCCTGAGCTAAGACAAAAATCTGTGAGCTAGCTCACACTAACTCAGCTTAGAGGGAACACTGCTCACAGCCTCCCTCCAAGTCTCCAAAGGCAGCTTCTGAAGGACAGAAAAGCAGGTATGACAAGACTTCTGACAAGGGCCCCCCAAAGTAATCCCACGACAGCTTGGTGGACACCCTGGCCACACCCAACAAGGGAAGTGTGTCAACAACCCTCACAGCTCCTCACCCACCCAAAGGCTGAAACACTTTAGTTGGCTGGGTTATCTACGATTCTCCCAAAGTAACTCCATGGTAGCTTGGCAAGCACTCCAACCCCACCAGACCAGTGGAAATCTGTTTTCCATTTTAAGTGAATAGTGATGCAAACTGTCTCGCATAATAAAGACTGTTTATAGTGTCATGCACAACCAAGTGTTTATGGATTGAAGTGCTATGTTTATACACTGAAACGATGCATGGAGACTATTTCAAGTATCGCCACAAGGGTTGCTTCAATATTGGACGTTAGGACTGGCTCCTCTACAATCTCTCCCAAGTTGGGGGCCGATTACGTTTCTGAGGTCCTGGTTATAGACCTCCAAAAATGTCTCCTGAGTGTAATCACCTCTGTGTGCCATGAAGTTGAAAATGTGTGCAAAGGGTGCTGTCACGGCTCAGGTGGGGTGTCGCCTGACGCTGCCACCACTCTGGTTTTAGGTTCCCTTGAGAAGGCCCAGAGCACCCTCCCAAGACTTTCAGACCTCCCTTATTTGGCGAAAAAATAGGCGTGAGGACCAGACAGAGTAAACAACAAATAAAAGGTTTATTTTTATAGGAGGTCAGTCAATTATATGAAACAAACAAGGTGCAAGCACAATAGCAATAAGGGGGCGAGGAGAAAAGAAACCAAATGCCCTAATGCAACTAGCCTCACAGGCCCTAGTTCACAGTTGGGCCTGAGTCTGCTCACCCTTCCTCTCAGGGTGAGGATCTCTCCCAGCAGCAGCCTTCCCTCTGGCCCTGCTCTCTTGGAAGAAAGAACAGCTTTTCTTCTGTACCAGCTTTTTTATTATAAGTCCCCTTTCTCTGTGATTGGCTAAAATTGGCACCAAAACCTCTCAGGGGCTTCTGGGAGTTGTAGGCCTGGCCTCCTCCCACTGCCAGTCAGGCTCCCGGGCCTGCTAGGCCTTTGCTTGCACAGCCCAGATCATGACAGGTGCTCATTGGGGGGGAGGGAGTTCTCCACCCCCCATGTACCACAGGCCCCCAGACACCAAACCCTTCCAGGCCATTGGAGCCTGGGGTTCTCTGCAGAGGCAAAAGAGTTCTTAGCACTGCCCAGAGACACCAGCAATTGCTGACACTCTTTGGAGAAGAAGACTCTGATAGCAGTGATTCAGAGGGGGGAGGGAAGTATCCTCCCCATCCTAACTCCCTGTTGCTGCTCCCACCTCGAGTATACCCCTCCGTGGCCCCTCCCAGTTCTGTGCCAGAAAGCAGCTATGCCTCCCACTTTCTCCAGTCCTAGGACCACAGTTTGAAAACATTTCTGCATCCTCCCCAGTGACCCCTGTGTGGCAGAGTGCCAGGTGTGCCATACCCATGAGGGGCGTAACCCCCCCCCCCAACACTTGTCCTCCTCCGCAGGTACCTGAAAACGGTGGAACCAACTATGTTGCTTGCAGAGAAAAGAGCCGTGGCTAGCGAGAGGAAGAAGAGGCCCACTCCCTCTCAGCAAGGAGAAGTGGAGGGGGAACAGGAGGCCACTCCAAGAAGGACTCCCCACACTCGGGTGGCCATGGGTGGGACATCAAGGCGGGCCACCCTTAAACTATTGTAAGCCGCCCTGAGCCACCTAGGCGGGAGGGCGGGGTAAAAGTCTAATAAATAAATAAAAGGCTACGCTGAGTCCCCTGACACCAATCCACAGAATCTAGCCCCGACCTCTCTTGCGTGGCCATGAGCTCTGAGTCCACCTAACACCCGAACTTTAGCACGGGGGAACAGTTCACAATCAGGAGGGTATAAAACATGGGTCCTCACTGAGGCACTGGGCGTGAGCAGAGAGTCAGAGTGGCTCAGAGCCCTGAGTCCACTGAACACCTAAACTCAAGCAAGGGGAGAGGAGTCCACAACCAGGAGAGTATAAAATGTGGGTCCTCAGCTGAGGCACTGAGTGTGAGCAGAGAGATGGGGTGGCTCAGAGCCCACCTAACACCCAAACCCCAGCAGGGAAGAAGAGTTCACAATCAGGAGGGTATAAAATGTGGGTCCTCACTCAGCCGCGGCACCCACTGCTGGGCTTGAGCAGAGAGCCCAAATCCCAAGAGGGGAGAGGAGTTTGCAGTCAGGAGGGAATAAATGAATGTGCTCTGCTAGTCTGCTTTTAACCAGTTCCCTGCCTCTCTGTGTAACTGCCAGCAGTGGAGCCAAGCGTATATATAGTATTCTGATCTCACAGAGCAGCATGAGAACTCTGTTTTGGTAGCCAGCCGTGCCTGTTAAGCTTTGGAGGCTCCTATTGCTGTTTCCAAGGCTGGAGAATTCCACTCTCTCCCCCCCCCCCATTGCCTTGGAGTTTTGGAGACTGTCTTTATGGAAATGTATCCATTCATGAACCACCACAAACAGCACCAAAGCTTGTGAAATGTTTATGCTGGGTGCTCTTCCATGAACATCGCTTTGGGGACCATGAACTGATGAATTTTTCTTCGTGAGCTGGTTTGTGCCTATCCCTAATCCCCCCTCTGCCTGGGAAACTTGTCACTCACACGGCCTCAGCTTAATCTTCCTCCCAGGGCCCTTAGGATAAAATGGAAGAGGGGAGAACAATGTCGCGAGCTGTTTTGGGTCACCATTGGGGAGAAAAGGACATAAATATTCAAATGCTACTTTTCCCTCTTTGGAATTCTTGATCTTGTTAGTTGTCCTAACTGTGGCTGAAAGGTGGAGCATGAACATTTAGAACAAGACCTTTGGGATGCCTGTTAGCAGCTCTCCTCTGCTCTTTTTGCAGTCCGTCACCTTTAAAACAACCAGCAGGAACCTGGCCCGGGCCATGTGCATGAAGAACCTCAAGCTCACCATCATCATTGCTATAGTAACAATTGTAAGTTTCTCTGGGGGCGGGGGAGGCTTTCTGTGCTGCCCTTCCTTTCTGCCATTACCCTCTCCCACGTTACCCCTGACCTTTCTGCAAAAGCACTGCAGCGTAAATAAAGTGGAACACACTAGACCAGGGGTGGCCAAACTGTGGCTCAGGAGCCGCATGCCGCTCTTTCACACATCTCCCTTATAAATAAAAGCCGAATGGTGGTGGAACTTCTCTAGAACATTCCACACGCTCCAAAATCAGTTCACTCTCTGATCTGTCATTCAGAGGGTCTCCCTATCCACTGGCTGCTTTGCCTGAGTCCTGCCTCCAATATTCTAAACATTTTGCTGTTCCTCTCCCCCGCCATAGCCAGTCAGTACAGAGAGGTTATTTGCATATGCAGCCTCATTGGCCTTTGCCTCGGAACACAGAGATCATTTGCATATGCGACTTGATTGACTTTTGCCTCTAACATTCTAAACAGTTTGCTGTTCTGAGGTAAAATGTGTCCAATCTCCAGGTGAGGGCTGGAGATCACTCAGAATTACAACTGCTTTCCAGATGGCAGAGATCAGTTCCCCTGGAGAAAATGGTGGGATCTGTATCCTTATATGCTGCTGAGGTGGCCTCTGTATGACAGCCAATGTGACGTAGTAGTCAGGGCTTCAGAGCACGGGAGAGGCTGCAGGTGTGTGGGGGGTGGAAAGTTGAAGAGTGAGGGGGAAATAAAGGTAGGTTGATGATTGGCTGGGAAGAAGATAGGG